CTATGGGTCGGAATCGACTTGACGGCACTTAACAACAACAACCCTACTTTCGTAGATTTTTGTTGAAAGGGCAGTGGCTTTTCCTGGATTCATCTGAAAAAGTGTTATCTTAACTAGATTTTGATACCAGCAAAGAATCAAAACATACCTTGTCTGATGGATGGTTAGCTATGAGAGCTGTAGCCCTTTCAGTAAAGATGTTTGTTGAATACATATTTTTATATCCAGCTGCAACCTCTTCACCATCTCGAAAATCAAGAGCACACCGTGTGACATTCAGGGCATCAATGAATACACAGTGCTCATGGGAATAGTAATCTTCACTACCTAAGAGATATCCTGGAACAATAATGGAAGATGAAAGTAGTTAGCATAGCATAAAACTTGCTAAACAAACTAATGTTTCAGCATTTAATTGCCTAATGCAATTGATTACCTGTGACAAGGCTAATCAAATGACAAGGCTAATCAGAGTGCCATTTCTTAACATCTCTATATTTGATAGGTGAAGACATTAAAATGCTTTTGTCTAAAAATCCACATTCTTTCCTCACTTAAATCTTTAGAAAACAAGCTGTAGCATATAACTGTCAACACCTATGGTTGATTCCAATTAAATGGGCTTTTAAAAAAAGATAAGGAGTCCTGGTAGTCCAATGGGCTAAGCACTGGGCTGCTAACCACAAGGTTGGCAGTTCAAGTCCAACATCTGCTCCATGGGAGAACTATGAGCCTATCTGCTCCCATAAAGATTTACAGTCTGGGAAAACCTGTGGAACAGTTCCACTCTGTTCTGTAGGGTCACTGGGAGACAGAATCATCTGAAAGGCAATAAATTTGGGAGGATTTAAAAATATATATATAAGATTAGAGTTCACATTCAGTAATAGTAACGTAACATCTTCGTCATTGCAAGCTATCTAATGGCAAAAACAATATATGGCTAATGTGATATATTACAAGTTTGTGCATGATCATGTAAATTAACATAGGATTCAAATAATGTTATTCTTGACGTTCTGAAACTGGCTTCAAGGAAACAGTATTAGGAGGAGTCATCTCTAATTAGACACTGACACCCACTGGTGGAAGACACAAACCTTTCCAAAGAGAGGATCTCTAGACATAGTAAAAGAATCAAAAGATCACACAAAATGGCGACACTGAAAAGAGACCTTCCTACCTACACTGACCTCAGTTTCTCCCCAGATTTAAATGCTATCAACTGCCCATTCCAAAATGTAGACTTAAAAATAACAGAAAATCGTTTTCTCAACAGCCAGCAAAGGTTCTGTATTTTCAAATAAGCTGTGCTTGAACCAAAATGTGTATAAACTGTTGAATGGAAAACTTGATTTGCTCTGTAAACTTTCACCCTAACCACAAAAATAAATAAATAAATAAAATATCCTACTGCCGTTTAAAAACAAAGTGTGCTAAATATTTTATGATTCCATTTATTTGAAATGTCTGGAATAGGTTATCTCTAGAGACAAAAAAAAAATAGATCAGCCATTTCCTAGAGCTAAAGGGAGTCCTGGTGTGGTTCTGTAGGATAAGTACTAGACTGCTAATCACAAGGTTGGCAGTTCAAACCCACCAGCCACTCTATGGAAATCCTACACAGGGTCACTGTGTGTAAGGACGGAGTCCACTGCATTTAACAACAACAACAACAGAGGGACTGGAGGGAAATAAGGAGTGACTGTTAATGAGATAGGAGCTTCAATGTTGGGATGAGAGAAATGTCCTAAAATTAGGTTGTTTTGATGGTGGCACAATCCTGTGAATTTGTTAAAAAACACTTTAACTGGGTCAACTGTATAGTATATGAACTAGACCTCAAGAAAGCTGTTAAAAATAAATAAGGTGTGCTGGACTCTTATCTATTTCCTCAGAAACACCACTTACTAACCTAAAAATTAGGGTGATAAAAAGGCCCAGTCCTTTTCCAGTCTTAAATTTTCCCTATATTCACAACTAAGAGTTTTACGTAGCATATATAATAAATGAATTCATTTTTATTTAATTACTCCTTTGCCATGATCCAATAAACTCAAAGTCCTAAATATAATTAGCACCTTGGTCTTAAGATAACTATTTTATATGATAAACTTTTATGCTATTTATATGACTAGACTGCACTTAACAACAACAACAACATAAAAGAGTAACAGAAATCAAATGTATACCTAATTAACATGCAATAAAGAAAGAAATGTATACATAAAAATAATTTCAGCCATTGTATGGGTGATTAGTAAAGTCAGGATACTCAGACTTAGGGTGTAGTGGTTTTAAGTGACTTAAATTGGGCTTCCAACCACAAGGCTGGTGGTTCAAACCCATCAGCCATTCCAAGGAATTCTACTCCTATAAATGTTTACAATAATCTTGGAAACTCTAGGGAGCAATTTAATCTGTCCCATTGGGTGTCTAAGAATCAGAATTAACTCAGTAGAAGTAGAATTTGGGGTTTTAGTGTTAGGGGATCACTTTAGGTTCTTTATCTGTAAAGGTAAACTGTTTTATACCACTTGAAAGAATATGTACATAGAATATACCTGATTTTAAATGTGCTGTAGTGGCGCTGTGGGATAAAGCACTGTACTACAAGGTCGGTTTGAATCACAAGGTCGGTGGTTCAAACTCACAAGCTGTTCCTTGGAAACCCTATACAGAGTCACTATGAGTCTGAAACAACTCAACAGCACTTAACGACAACAACAAATTATAAATACTTTTAAAATATTATATATAGGAGGTTTCTAGAAATAGGAGAACTATATTTATCTACATACTTGGTCAAACTTATACCAAGCAACCCTATGATAATGATATAGAGATTTTCATTGTAACAGTGATTCACAAATTTGAACTGACATGCCAGACTTAAAGAAAAATAAGAGCCAATGCTCTCTGAGCCATCAGAAAATCTTCTTTAAATGACTAAATCTCTATTTTATTTATTTAAGAAATAATCCATATAGCATACAATTCACCCATTTGAAGTATGCAGTCCAAAGGTTTTTAATGTAGTCACAGAATTGTACAGCCACCAGCACAGTCTGCCTGCTGCTTAACATGGCACTGTGGTAACCGTGATCATTGCTGCATGCCATCATACTCTCCTGTCTACACATCTCTCATTCTACCACTGCCACGTGAATGTGGGCTGTTTCTCTGTTCATCTCAATCTCAGTTAGGTTTCTTCATTCTCACAAAAGGATATCATTTCTACCCTCTGTCCAACTGAAGTTTTAAAATATAGAAATTGACTTGGAGAAAAGATTGAAGTTGTCAAGGACTTAAGTCTTCTTAGACTATCAACACTCATGGAAGCAGCAGTCAAGAAATCAAATGACGTATTGCATTAGGCAAATCTGCTGCACGAGACCTTTTTAAAGTGTTGAAGAGCAAAGATGTCTGCTTGAGGATAGAGGTGCGCCTGACCCTAGCCATGGTATTTTCAATAACCTCGTGTGCATGCAAAAGCTGGACAATGAATAGGAAGACTGTAAAAAAATTGATGCTTTTGAGTTGTAGTGTCAGAGGAGAATATTGAAAGTGCCATGGGCTGCCATAAGAACCAACAGATCTATGTTGGAAGAAGTGCAACCAGAGTGCTCCTTGGAGGTCAGGATGGCCAAACTTTGTCTCTCATACTTCAGACATATTATCAGGAGGGACCAGATGCTGGAGAAGGATATCATGTTTGGCAATGTAGAAGGTCAGAGAAAAAGAGGAAGACCCCCAGCGAGATGGATTGGCAAAGTGGCAGCATCAATGGGCTCAAGCGTGGCAACAATTGTGAGGCTGGCCCAGGACCGGGCAGTATTTTGTTCTGTTGTGCACAGTGTTGCTATGAGTCTGTACTGACTCAATGGCACCAAACAACAAAAGATGTTCAAACTGTTTATTCCTCTTGAATTTCCAAGATGACAAAGAGCTCTTCCACCCAAGTTCAATTTTTAGTAATTGTTTAAAGATACTGAGGCTATATGCACATTCATCAAGAAAAATGCCATTATTGATGGTGACTAGAGGGATAGGAGTGGGTACATGTGCTCTCAGGTCTGATATCTTTGCATCTTGGTTTTAACCCTGGATCCAACCAAGTATGTCAGAGCTGCGTGTTTCTACTACATTGATTTGCCCCATACACAGTCACTTTTACTGAAGTAAATTTTGGTGTTTTGGCCCAAGCATGAAAAAATATCTCAAAAATATCAATAAGAGCATTATTTTATTACTAGAATGATATTTTTAAGGATGCTGTCCACCTTACTTAGGAGGACCCAAAGGAGAAATTCCTCTTAGACCTGCTACTGCTATTGTGTGCCATCGAGTCAGTTCTGACTTATAATGACCCTGTATAGGATTTCTGAGGCTATAAATCGTTACAGAAGCAGAAAGCCTCATCTTACTCTCACGCAGCGGCTGGTGGGCTCAAACTGCTGGCTTTGTGGTTAGCAGTCCAACAAATAATTCACTAAGCTTGCAGGACTCCTAGCCCTAAGAGCTCTTAGACCTGAGAACGTCTTATTTTTCCTGAATGTCGCGTTTTCATTTATCTTACACAGAATGTGACTCTTACATAGACCTTTCCTTTTTTGCTTTGTACCTAATGAATCTTGGAGTTGAACATGAAGCCTGCATAAAACATTCCGTTTTCATTTTTGCTTGTAATTGAGAGCCATATAAATGTCTCATTTTTTTCTATTCACTGCATTTTTTTATCCTATTTATTTCTCAAATTCTTGTGTTCAGTGTATTTTCATTTTTGGATTATAAGCAAGTAAATGAAGAGACAGATGGGAGGTATGTAGGTAGCTTAGTAACTAGACAGAAAAATAAGTCAATATAAAAAGAACTTGACAGAAAGATAGCTAGCTACTGGCAAAATAAATATGTTGCTAATTAAGACATGATTCACAACATATCTGAAGAGGGCAAATCTTAAAACAAACTTTAGGTTTCATATTTTTGTTTTGTTTTGCTTGGTTTTTGTGTAGGATTATCAAGGCCACTAGTAATTTCTTAAGGAGCTCTGCTAGCGTAGTGGTTACAAATCAGGCTGCTAACCTCAAGGCCAGCAGTTTGAAACTAGCAGCTGATCCATGGGAGAAAGCTGAGGCTTCCTGCTCCTGTAAAGATTTACTGCCTTAGAAACCCCATACAGGATTGCTAGGAATCAGAACCGACTCCACAGCACATATCCACCACCACCACCAAATATTTCTTATTATTCCTTTTGAGCTTTGATATTTACCATTCCCATTTTTAATTTTGATCTCTTTTCCAACCTAGTGATTTCAATAATAAATGTCACAGGGAGAAAGATGCCAACGGAAAAGAGACTTCCTCCATTACCTCAAAGAAAACAAAACAAAATTTGAATACAGTATATAGGGAAAGAATATCCTGAACCTTTGTGGGAGAAACATAATCGTGTTGGGATTCATGAGTTTGTCTCCTGTCTTAAAGAAAAAAAACCAATGTTCACCCCCTTTTGACATAAGGTTCTCTGACAGTACCTGGTCTCTGGTGTGAAGGTTGTAATCTCTTCTAAGGGCCCAAGATGGTATGTAGCATCTGGAAAAGGGGAACAATTTCCTGGGGCTTATGCACACCATGCATTATTGACCACAGAGCCACGTTTAAGGAGGTAACATTAGAAAGTGGCCCCCTGTGGTGCTGACTGATTCACTTGGTGTTCCAGTTTCTAGTTATTTTATTTGGGTGTGTTTTACAAGATGACTATAGTCAGTCTGGGTTGTTATAAAAACGTGCATTTCCATTACCAAAGTAGGTATCAAATCCTCGGCGCGTTGGAAGGCATTCTTTCCGGTACATTCCCAGGTGCCATTTTCCGACCATGTGGGTAGTATAACCTGCTTCTTTTAGAAGCTGAGGCAGGAGTTTTTCATCCAAAGGAACACAGCTGGGCTGACAGGGCCAGATTATTTGGTGCTGTAAACCTGTGTGGATCTTGAAGAGAGAAACATGAAATTATGGGTGTTGAAACATTGTGAATAAACCAGCAAAGTGGTGCCTAATTTCTGGGGCATATTCATAGACTTGGATGTTTAACTCTATTCCTATACTGGTTTAAATATATTTCTGAAAGGCAGTTTGCTCACTAAATCAAATAAGAAAATGGGCATAAATAGGGTCTGGAAAATGAATAAAAGCATTCTAACAGATACTTCAACAAACGCTCTTCAAGGCATTATGTGAGGAACCATTAACTTAACTTTTTACTACCTACCTCAAAAAATTAACAAAAATATGAGGTATGAGTGAAAGTTTACAGGGCACATCATCAGCTTCACATTCAACCATTCATATAGCTTGTTTCATTACCATCAGGAAATGTTTTAAGTCCTCTTCACTTTCAGTAAGTAAGGTTGTATCATCTACATATCACAGGTTCTTAATGAGTCTCCCTCCAATCCTGATGCTACGTTTTTCTTCAAATAACCCAGCTTCTCGGATTATTTGCTCAGCATACAGGTTGAATAGCATGGTGAAAGAATACAACCTTGTCGCATACCTTTTTTTAATTTAAACCATTCCATGTTCCCATGTTCTGTTCGAACAACTGCCTCTTGGTCCAGGTACAGATTCCTCATGAGCACAATTAAGTAATCCAGAATACTCATACTTCACAATGTTGCATAAGACCTCTTTAAAGTGCTCAAGAGTAAAAATGTCAATTTGAGGACTAAGGTGTACCTCACCCAAGCCATGGTATTTTCAATAGCCTCATATGCATGTGAAAGTTGGACAATGAATACGGAAGACTGTAAAAGAACTGATGCATTTGAGTTATGGTATGAGAAGAGAATTATTAAAGTACCATGGACTGTCAAAAGCATAAACAAATCTATGTTGGAAGAAGTACAGCCAGAATGCTCCCTGGATTCTAGGATGGCCAGACTTTATTTTCATAATTTGGACATAATATCAGGAGGGTCTAGTCCTTGGAGAAGGACATCATGCTTGGTAAAGTAGAGAGTCAGCAAAAAAGAGTTTCTCCCCCGCCCCCAATGAGATGAATTGGCATGGTGGCAGCAGCAATGCAATCAAGTGTAGTAACAATTATGAAGTTGGCGCAGGATTAGGCAGTGTTTAGTTCTGTTGTGCATGAGGTTGCTGAGTCTGTACTGACTCAACAGCATCTAACAACAACAACTACTACTACTATTGAAGGTTGGCAATTCAGACCTAGTAATCTACTTCTGTAAAATTACAGCCTACAAGACCCTGCATGGCAGTTCTACGCTATCACATGGGGTTGCTATGAGTCAACGTCAACCTGATGGCATCCAACAAAACTATGTGCTAAACAGCTTTCTCATAAACTTGAACTTTGTCTTGAATTTTACCTTTTGTGTTTTTCCATAACAATACTTTAAAAATTGTACCTGCTATCTTTCCAAATCCTCCTTAAATAACTATATATAAGCTACTTTTAAAAACTTTTTATTGTGAATTGAGTGAAAATTTACAAAGTAGATCATCAGTTTTACATTCAACAAATCCTACTTTATTTCATTCACTGCAACCCCTCAATGTAACATCACATAATTCCACTTCCTCCCTGGGTTTCTTGTTTCTAATCTTCTTTCTGTCCCACCCTTCCACACTTTTTACTTGGATAAATACTGCCCTTTTGAACTTCAATGGTTGACTACATTATGGTGTGTGCATACCTCGGTAGGGTGTTTGTTTCCTCTCTATACCTATCTATTACTTGGCTGAAAATTGAACTACAAGGGTGTTTTCAGTTCCAGATCTGAAGGGTGGCCAAGAGCCATAGAGTCTCAGAGTTCCACCAGTCTCTCTCTAACCAGTATACCTGGTCTATTTTATGATTTTGATTTTGTTCCACATTTCCTCCCACCCTATTTAGAACCTCCTAATGCTGTACCATGTTTGGTAAGGTGGAGGGTCAGAGAAAAAGAGGAAGCCCCCCCTCCCCTCAATGAGATCGACTGGCCAAGGGGCAACATCAGTGGACTCAAGCATGGCAACAGTGTGAGGTTGGCCCAGGATTGGGCAGTGTTTCGTTCTGCTGTGCATGGGTTGCTACCAACTCGATGGCACCTAACAACAACAACAACAATGCTGTTCCACGGGAGAAAGATGAGGCTTTCTGTTCCCGTAAAGATTTACAGCCTCAGAAACCCTGTACGGGGTCGCTCTATGAGTCAGAACTGACTCCATGGCACATAACAACAACAACAATGTGATCCCTTTCAGAGCAGTTGGTAGTGGTAGCCAGCCACGATCTAGTTCTTCTGGTCTCAGGGTTATGAAGATTGAAGCTCACATGGTGCATTAGTCCACCGGACTGTTTCCAAGTGTATTCAATTTTCATCACTCCTCTTTTCTCCAGACCTCAGATGGCTGCTCATGAGCTTTTAAGATCCCAGTCACAACTCACCAAAGTAGGATGTAGAACATTGTCTTTGTGAACTATGTTGTCCCAATTGACCATGATCTCCCCGAAGACTATGGTCCAGAGCCCCCATGCCCAGTGACTCATCCCCACAAAGTGTTTGGTAAAGCCTCAGAAGTTTTTGAGGTCCTGGAATGGTGTTGTAGGGTAAGCACTGACCAGCTGATGACAAGGAGAGTGGGCATATACCCACACTATATAACGGTTGACAGAGGATATTTGTACATGTGTGTTTACCTTTGCTGCAAATACATTCATGAATGTGGTGAAGTATTCAGTGGACCAAGTTAAAGCAAAAGCAAAATTTATATTATGGGATACTCTCAACTCTCCCTTCTACCTCCATTCAGCTTGTTGGTGGTTCAAATTGACCAGCCACCAGCCACTCCTATACAGAAACCCTATACAGGGTCACTATGAGTCGGGACCAACTCAATGGCACTTAACAACAACATATAGGGTTGTTATGAGTCTGAACCGACTCAATGGCATGCTACCAGTAACTTATCCTTCCTTTCGACCCACTCCTGCTAACCATCAAAGAGTGTTTCTTTTACTGCTTGTTTTCTTGACTTTTGAAAATAGTAGTGGTTTCCTACAATGTTTGTCCTTTTGTGATTGACTCATTTTACACAACATAATCTCCAGCTTCACACGTATTATGAGGTATCACAGATTCATTGTTATTCTTCAACATTGAGTAGTATTCCATTGTATGTATTTACCATAGTTTGTTTATCCATTCTCCCAAGGATGGGCATTTTTAGGTTTGCCTCAATATAGTTTTCAAAACTAAAGTGAGTTTAAGTTTTCTACTGAGATATGTATGCCTCTCCTAGAAATCACTGCATACACATTTTGGGATATATGTAGATGTCTTCCATTGGCTCTCCAATCTACTCTGCCTTGTCTACCCTGTTCTCTACTCTATTAGGCTAATCCATGTGGCATCTGATTGGGCTCAGCCAATGAGAGAGAAGAAAGAGAGTGACTAGTCTCTGTCTGGATACATATCTCTAGTGAGGACCATTCTAAGAGCAGCCGTCACTTGACTGTCACCTTGTAGTTTCTTTCTGGTCATTGCCCCATATTTTCCTTCCTCTGGTCTAGGGATAGAAGCCACTTCACTGGGTTACTGGACCAAGAAGGTTACTCCACACATTCACATCTCTTAAAATATTCTTTTTATAAATAAACACTTCCTAAATTATCCTAATGTGAATATGCCATCTGTTTCCAGCTGGGACCCAGAATGATATAGGATATTACAATATCCAGGCAGGCAAACAATGCTCTCAATGAAAAACAGAACAAAACAAAACAACAACAAGCTCTGGTAGCGTAGTGGTTACGAATCGGGCTGCGAACCTTAAGGTCAGCGGTTCGAAACTACCAGCCGCTCCGCGGGAGAAAGATGAGGCTTTCTACTCCCGTAAAGATTTACACCCTCGGAAACCCTGCACTGGGTCGCTATGGATCGGAACCGACTCGACGGCACTTAACAACAACAATAATATATATACAAACATTGTTGTTATGTGCCGTGGAGTTGGTTTCGACGCATAATGACCCTGTACAGGGTTTCCGAGGTTGTAAATCTTTACAGAAGCAGAAAGCCTCAACTTTCTCCTGCGGAACGGCTGATAGTTTCGAACTGCTGACCTTGAGGTTCACAGCCCGATTCATAACCACTATGCTACCAGAGCTCCTTATACAAACACACCCCCTCTCAAAAAATAAATAGATAAAATCAAAGAATGGTTCTTTTCATGGTTACTGCTTGAAATTTACTCAATAAAAAATTGATCCCAGGCTCAAAACTTCACAATAGATACTAATTGACAAGGGAGCAAAATGAGTGATAAAGATAAAATTCTTTTATGGAATCCAAAAAACCCAGTGGAGAGAAATGTTGGGCACAATTTTTTTTTTTTTAATGGAAAGCTCATCTATCACATGCAGAGAATTAACCTCTGGTCACCAGATAGCACTGCCAAGAGAAAGTATGCTCTGTGATTTGGTTTCCCGGCACCATGGATACCACGCCAGGTGGTCAGCTGAAGCCTCCCTCCATGATCTGTAAGCACTGGGAGCAGGAAATTTGTTCTTTGCAGTTCCTGAGAATTTATTTGGCAGAGAACTTTTATGACATTCTCGGGAAGCGGAAGCTAAACTCTGGGTGACCGCCAAGAACATGTTTTTGGTCTGCTCAAACAGTATTTGAAGTAAGGAAGCTGTAATGTGTAGAGAAGCAGTAAACAGGCAAATGCCAAGCTGGTTCCAACTCAGCACATTAGTTTAGCACAGAGCATGCTTCATGGAGCAGGAAAATACACCTATACGGGGCACCAACAGGAATCAAAAGGGAAAAATAAGAATGCTAAGCTTCTATCACAGAGTTCCCTTGTAAATACAACAGATGTAAAACTAATTTCATTTTAACATACATCTACAATGCCCAGAGAATATATATGAATGGAGAAGGTCCCCACTCACAATAAACTTTCCAAGGGCTAGGTGAGCC